ATATATATATATATATATATATATATATGTTATGAATACATCAGTTTTACAGTAAACAAGAGTACTGTTTAGAGTCCACTTAAATGTGTAGAATATTTTTCTCTCAATGTATGTAACGTATCTTGAAGGACGCCATAGTGGCTGTTAGATAGAAATTCCTGATGAAAGGCAAATTTATAGCAGCTCTGGTAGAAGGTTTGTCAAGGTCTTAAGGTGTTATTTAAATTGAGTTTGTGGATAGCCTTGGGTCCTCTTGCAACATCTATACAGATATCTTAGGAAGGCCAGAAGCAGGGTTTTTGAGCACATTGCCTGCGGCTATTATTATACTTAGGAAATATTGTGTATTTTAGCTGAAGTGAAACAAAGAAAATTAGCTTCTCTGACCCAACTTCTTTGATTTGGGGGGCACATTCTTGTTAAGCATTAAGTTTCAGCAGAGAGCTCAACACATTCCTGCGACAAATATAAAAATGTTGGAGAAATGTCAGAATTACAAGCAGAACAACCCGTGAGAAGGTGGCTCTCCCCCATTAAAATGCTTGTTTCCTCTCTTTCTGCTACCTCCACTGTCGACACGGTCACCCTGTGAAAATGAAACACTGGAACATAAAAAAAGAAGATCTTGCCACCTTAGAATAAAAACAAGGAGATGGATTTTTAATTAAAGGTGAGAGGTAATACTCTTCTGGGGTGGGGGGGTGGTTCTTGCAGAATGGGGTGTAGATGACTGGTTTGAGAAATGCCGGACTGCAGCACCCCTCCCTACTTCCTAGTACTCTAGCCACCTTACCCCTTTCCTCTAACTCCCAGCGCACCCTCCCCTGCACATTCCAGCGTTCGGTTAATTGGACAGGGAGAGTGGGCTGAGGAGGGAAGCGTTCAGGCCCATTAGCAATCCTCCTGTGGAAGGCTGAACCAAGAGGATCACAGACTCACAAATAGGGGGATTAAAATAATCAATAGGTTTCTCTCTCTCTTCTTCGGCACAAATGATGGGTGGATGGCACACACACACACTTATACAGATATGCACACGCACACACGTTCAAGAGCAAATACAAACACACCAAGAGTCTGAGGAATACTAGTTCAAGGAGGAATTCTCTCCTCTCAGTGTCGTCTGTGGTTTTTTTACACACACACACCCACACACTTTCACACAGCTATAGTCTGTTAATGAGGGTTAATTTTAACCTCCGCCAAAATGAGGACCACTGTAAAGGTCATACAAATGAAAATAGCCTCATATCAGAGATGTATTTTTTATGCGCTTTTATTATTTTTGTATCTTTTGTTTTCAGTTTGTTTTAAAATAATAATAAAAAGATTAGTTTTAGTTTGTTTGTAATAATATTAATGTTAGTAATAGTGTTGATATTAAAGAATTTTGAGCAAATAATAAAAAAAAATATGAAGGATTTGTTTTTCCTTTTTGCTGGTACACAAATAATTATTTTACATTACTTTTTTTGTATTTGTCTCTCAATTGTTCACTCCCAGATTCTTCAAAGGGCAAACATAGCAAGTATTTCCTTAAATACAGTATCATAAACTTTTTTTATAGAAAACTTTTTTATGAATGATTCATTTTATTTTGTCTCTTTTTACCAATCTGTAATGGGAGCAATTGGTCTGTAATATAAAAGAAACATTTTAAATAACTAGTGAATCCAACTTATTCTATTTTGTTTCGTCCATCATAGGCATAACCAGGTCGACATAATTAAAAATACAAGCATTACGCCTAAGGAATGTAGCACAGGGCTGTCATAGAGCTAGGTTAAAATTTCTGTGAAAACATTAAATATAACAACAAAAGCTTTTCTATCAGCCTTCAGTTTGTACAAATTAAGACCATTTTTTTCTTATTTGCTTGTTCAAGTACTTTCTGTGTTTTCTTTTATTTGTTTGTTTCCTGCTCTAATAGACAAAGCAGGTTTAATTGTTGCTGTTATAAGTAAAAAGTGGTGTCTTTCTTTAGCTGCTGACATGTTGTGTAACAGATTAAAACTTTACGTTTAATACGTTTTAATATTACAAACTCAACCAGAGCAGATCTTCTTTTTTTTCCTTTGATTGAGAACCTTAATCATTCCTGACAAATCCAATCATGCAATTTCAGATAAAATAACAGTAAGGAAGGGATTTATTGTTTTTCTTTATGAGCCTTAATAAGAATCTCCATTATCTCTATTATCTCTGCTTTATTTAAGCTAATTTTGTTGCAAATAGGATGCTGAACATTGATAATCAACCAAGCATGCTCAATCAAAGTATCACGAAAGACATTGCATTTCATTTCTCTTTTCTTAAGAATTGTAATTCCTTTCTAGAAACGTCACATATTAATATTGTAGTGTTAAAATAAATACCATAATCTGCAACTATAGGTTGCAATCAACAAAGTCATCCCTGTGGTGTTTGTATGTATGGATAGTTAGATTTGCTGTTCAGAGACCAGTAATGAAAAAAAATGCAAGTGATTTTCTTTTTCCTCTTTTAGTAACATAAAGCAATGACAAATAGACATAGGACTTTTTTTTTTTTTTTAAATGCTCAACCTGAGGCCATCAGAAGCGGTGATTGTAAAAGCATTTCTTCTGTAAATCTAAATGATGTCTTAACCTGATGGTGAAGGCAAAGCACTCACCTTTAATATTGTTGGGGAATAATGTCGATGGACAAAGATCTTTCTACCTTGATGGGTTGTTTTAGGTGTAATTTTAGAAATTGATTAATTTTCTTATTTTGCTTATTAGTCCTTATTTAAACATGAGAAGAATATCTAAAAAAAAATGAAAAAGACAGACCACTAAAAAGAAAAAATGGCAAGTATATTTTTATTTATTATTTCTAATGATTATTTGTATTTTACTGCTCCCCAAGCAGATGGGTTGAATGCAGAGAGTTAATTTTTTACATTGTGAGATCTATAAAGTTCAATTTCTATCCTTCTTCTTTTCTATTCAAAGGCCTACAAATGTCTAGAGTATCTTATTGTTTTTCCCGTAATGAAATTTCATTCTTTACTATTTGTTTAAATGAAAAAAATATATATATGTGCAAAATAAATGAATACTTTGTAATTTTCCTGTTACTTAAATTATCTTAATCCTAAAAATGACTTGTAGAGTCTTTGTTTTTAATGTTGTAATAATTATCCGATCCGAGTATTATCAGAGTGATACATTTATTTCTTTTACCGGAAGCCTCTAGTTTGACCCGAGACGCACGATTAAAAAACATTATCTTCACAACGTCGCCCCCTGCTGTATTTCCGCTGTCATCACAGCATCCGCTTCAGCCAGCAGATGTAAAATAGCGCGCCCTGGCCGCTGGGTGGCAGAGGCAACGTCAACTGGTTTTCTGCAGACAAAGATGGCGGTGCGGAAGAAGGACGGCGGCCCGAATGTAAAATATTTCGAAGCGTCTGACACCGTTTCCCAGTTTGATAATGTCCGCGTTTGGCTGGGAAAGAATTATAAAAAGGTACTGAGCGCACGTTTTGTAAGCATGCACACAGAGCTTTATTTTTCTTCGTCACCCTGAAACAGAGCAGAGGCAGTGACAAAGAGAGGAGGGAGGGTGCTGCTGCTGCTGCTGCTGCTGAGCGCCCAGCTGTTTGATTCACAAAAGGATGCTGAACCAACTGCTGCCGCAGATGCTGCTGCTAACCGCGGCGTGTACTTACGCCTGGGAAGCTGAAATGACGAAAATCCTTTACATGATCTGACCCTAGGAGTTAGAGTGTAGAAAGATAAATGTGATTTTAGCCTGGCAGAAGACAAGCTAGCCAGCTAATCGGCTAACGGTTAAAGCAGCTCGGATCCAGATGTTGGCCCTATGGCGCGGCTCTGTGACTGAAGTCATGAACGAGGGGGCTTGATTACAGCGACTATTCATCTTTTTTAAAGAGGTTAACTGTGATAAAACTTGAAAAACAGTCCTTAGACTATAGATATTGCCCTTACCACATTT